TCCTCTACCAGAGGCCTGGGAGCTTGAGGGTTTCTGCGCAGTATCTTGGCTGTGCCAAGGACTGCACATTTCTGGACTGAGATGTCTGATGTTGTTCCTGGGATCTGTTGTAGCCACTGCTCCAGTTTGGGGGTTACTGCCCCGAGGGCCCCGATGACCACAGGCACCACTGTGGTCTTCACCTTCCAGGCCCTCTCCAGTTCCTCCCTGAGGCCCTGGTATTTCTCTAGTTTCTCGTGCTCCTTTTTCCTGATGTTGCAATCACTTGGTATTGCTACATCTACCACAACGGCTTTCCTCTGATGTTTATCCACTACGACAATGTCTGGTTGGTTCGCCATTACCATTTTGTCTGTCTGGATCTGGAAGTCCCACAGGATCTTAGCTCTGGTGTTCTCCACCACCTTTGGGGGTGTTCCCCACTTTGATCTCGGTTTCCAGTCCATATTCTGCACAGATGTTTCTGTAGACTATGCCTGCCACTTGGTTATGTCGCTCCATGTACGCTTTCCCTGCCAGTATCTTGCACCCTGCTGTGATGTGCTGGACTGTCTCAGGGGCCTCCTTGCACAACCTACACCTTGGGTCTTGTCTGGTGTGGTAGATCTGGGCCTCTATTGCTCTGGTGTTTAGGGCCTGTTCCTGGGCGGCCAGGATGAGGGCCTCTGTGCTGTCCTTGAGTCCAGCTTTTTCCAGGCATTGGTAGGATTTACTGATATCAGCCACTTGGGTTATTTGCTGGTGGTACATCCCATGTAGGGGCTTGTCCTCCCATGATGGTATCTCTGGCACCTCAACCTCCGTTCCCTGTTGTCTGAGACATATATATATATTTATATATATTTTATATATAAATATATATATATATTTATATATAAATATATATAACATTTTATTATATATAACCCAACATTTATTTAAAAGTTAAAAGTCATTTATTTATTCGAACACATATAAAAATGAAACATGTTAAACCCACAGTCTTTTATTCTTTGCCATGTTAGATTTTAATGTAGAATGTAAGTTAATTTAAGTTCAAATTTACTTAGTCTGAGTAAACATCTTATCAGAGATCAATGAATTACTTTAAGTTTGTTGATCCTAATGCTGAGGTGTGAAGTCAGCGAGCAGCCCTCTTCTCATTTTAAGCCTAAGTGAGATAAGAGGCTGGATAATGTCCAGGTCGGTACCAAAACTCTGATCGCTGACCCCCCAAACATTCAGCCAAAGGATCACAGCACCAAAGTTGGTGTCATTTTCTTTTGTAATTGTTCTGCCAAGTAATCAATACATTGAAAAAAAGAAAAAAGAAAATGTTGTCATCTGTTGCTTTCCCTGTATAATTTCCCCTTACTTTTGCCCAATCTTTCCCTAATGAGGACATGTCTGCTTCTACTACTTCTACCCCATTTAGTCTGTATGAGTGAATTAATCCAGCCATGTCTTCTATCCACTCATCGGGGTTATCTGCAACATGTGTTATTCCTTCCACAGCCTTCCTGGCCTCTTCTAAAGTCCAGGGTCTAAAAACATAAATATGTGGTGACTGGCCATCTCTAGGATTTGGGTTTGGGACCTGGATCATTGGATATTGTTCTGTACCGTCAAAACTGTTCAAAACTTTTGGCTGTTTGTACTGCCTGAGATTATATGAATGTCCCTGATTACTGGGACCTGCGCCTTCCTTCTCATATAGCAACGCCAGTAGACAGGAAGAGGTGGATAAAGTGTATTTGGAGTGAGAACTGACAGTGGATCTGTGGTCAGCTCAGCTGGTGGTGATTTTGCAGGAGTGAGAGTTGGAGGGGCTGAGGGGAGCGCTGCCTGTGTGCGCGGAGGAGGGGCCTGCATTGCACCTAGTATGGGCTCATTATCTTCTGGCTTTACAAACAAAGTAGTGGCTTCCTCACTTTTACTCCTTTTGTCTTTGTTTTTTCTAATTTGTTCTCTCCTTTCTTTAGTTGCATCTAACCATTGTTTAGCACATTTCAGTTCTTCCTCCTTTCTTTCTCTTTTTATTAATTTTTATTTCCCATTATTTAAGTACTCTGCAATTTAGCTTTAGAAATGACTTGATATTTTGTGCTCTCTCTCAAGTAAGTGCTGGAGGTCAGAGCTTAGTGTCCCCTGAAGAACAGGCTTCTAGACTGAGACTAGCCTCAGTCCGGTTCTTCACTTAGGATTCTAATTCTGAGGACAGAAAGTTTTACTCACAGAGAGATGAGCAACACTCGCTCTTGCATGCACACGCACACACACACACACACACACCCACACACACACACACACACGCACACACACACACACACACACACACACACACACACACACACACACACACACACACACACACACACACACACACACACAGCACGGCAGCAATGACACAGCAATAAAGACCGCAGCAACTAACAATTTCCTATCAGTGCGATTATTGTTCCTTATGGGAAGTCCTCATTAAAAGAGAGGCTCTAAAAACACCTCTCTTTTAGATTTTAGTTGAGACAACAGGGATTCTACAACCTTTCGGAATTTAATCAAGTTGTTCTGACAAGGCCTCCAACCTTTTAGCTGATAAACATCAACTGCAATATATCAATTGTTTCACTTACGCTTTCTGTCGGCTCGTTCTGTTCGGTCGGATCTCGGCAGTCCCGTCGCTGGCAGACAAAGTGGGACCTAAGGCGCTGGCCTGGCGAAGAATTCACTTCCCGGGTCTTTCTCTCAAGTCCTAATGACTCTGGCCGTGGACGGTTTCAGCGCGTCGTTCTTCATCTGTCAGCGAACAAAACGCGAGATCCGGGTCACGGCATCAAAATGATAGGTATTTGTGAATCTAAATAGAAGAACAAACAGACAACGCAAGTGAATTTTATGAAAGCTTTTGCAAAAGGAGAGAACCCAGCAAACTGCTGCTTCCAGCCATTCACTGAGCGCTCTGAAGACCCTTTGTTAGGGCTTTCTCTTTTATTAAAAAGTAGAAAAGGAATGTGGAGGGAGGCAGATAGGAGAATCCCAAAGATACAAGTGGCTGCAGCTCCAAAGTCTAACAAGTATGAGAGCTTTTCTCAGGGATATGAATACTAAATCTATTATAGCTACCAATGTAAGAATGATAACAAAACATAATTATTTCTAACAGATGTCCTCAGCCGGGGCCCAAGCGCCAAAGACTTAAATTTTGTATGTCAATAAACTCTTCTAATGGTTTCCATTTTCTCCGTCTAAGTCTCTCCAGATTGAATTAATGTTCAGATGAAATCAACTCAGATTTTTCCATTGTGAACTAACCATAAAAGTTCATCTGAATATGTGTGAAGTGCACAATTCAGAGACTGATAATTGTCTCAGTCTGAACAATTCAGACTGGAAACAAAAAATCCACTGCATTAGGCGAAAATCTAAATCTGCTCTAACGAACTCAGAGTTACATAGTTGCTTTATTCACCTCTCAGCTGACAGAGGGCGGAGATTAAGTTCCCAGACGACCCGCCTGGGAAACTTCAGCAGACGCATCTTGTTCAGTTAGTTTGTACACCCTCTGCAGCTGCACCGAAAACATCTTGACTATGATACAATTACATTTATGTGATACATAAAAGAACACTGTATGATGCAAATAAAACATTTTTTTTTTAAAGCAAATCTACTTCACATATGTTGGAATGTCATTGTTCCAGAAATGGTGAATTTTATATGTGCATCTTTTATTTCACCAGTTTTTCTTTCCACTCCACTTTTTATTAAAATGTAATACTGTCTTCTGGGAAAAGCCATCTTGTTCAAGAATGAATTTTTGTGGCAGATATTGACCATGATTGATTACTCCATAATGTGGCAATAGTTACCTTTTTTATTGGTTTTGTGTAACCATGCAATTTATTGTCTTACAGAATAAAATATGTCCAATTAGCTAACTGAAAAGTGAGTTTAAAACTTCTTTTAGTTGTAGTTCAGTCTCCATCCAGTAGAGCGTCCCACTGGTCATTCTGAGGAGCCATTGATACGAGTTTGCAGTGGTATCTCTGAAGAGGAATGAGGTGAAAACTATCAATATGGTCCAGTTTGGGGTCTCCATTTGTGGATTGTTTGGAAAATTGAGTTAATCAATTTGCTGGATTGAACTGGAGCTTGATAAAAAAGAAGTGGAGTTTTCTCATTTGCATTTTTGTGCCATAAAAGGATTGGAAATCAAACGCAAAGAGTTTGACTGGAAAGTAAAAACCAGATTTAATAGAACACACTGTGTCAAATAAAGTGTTACTCCTTTCAAAACGTTCATTTCCAGGATTCCAACCACAGATGGATGTTGGAGGAATGTGTTGAATGGTCGGTCATCACACACGTCTTCTGGTTCTGACCACAAATAAAGACGTTCTGGGAGGAAAAACAGGAGACTGAGGACATTCTGAGGACAGATCTCCCCAGGGAGCCTCTTCTGTTTCTGCTGGACATAAACACCAAGGATTTACTCACTAAACATCAATGTTACATATTGTTGCACCTTCTGCTGCTGGGTAGCAAGAAAGACAATTAGACTAAACTGGATTAAACCCAGTTCACCAACTGTTGCTGAATGGAGGAAAAACTGAAACATGACAACATGATGGAGCGTCTGACTGAACAACTAGACATGAAAAAGATCATTAAATAGTAGTTTGGAAAATAAATACTGAATTTGAAAATTAAATGTTTAGTTTGTAAAATAAATATTTTTTTGAAGCCAAACATTTAGCAAAATTTTTATTTCCAAAAATTTTGTTTTCAAAGTAAATATTTAGCTTGTGAATTAAATATTTGGTTTATAATGAACGTATGAATGACATGGTGAAAATATGTGTTTGAAAAATGCATTTTCACAACTTTTTCTTTATGACATGATGAATAAACTAAAATACTGTTAGTATTTTTTGTTTCTATCAATCATCACTACAGTAATGATCAAAAGTAAGTACACCTTCAATTTATCAGCACTTCTCTTCTTCCTCATTAAGATTTTATCAACCTGCCTCTGATTTCACCTCAGAGATTCTACTTCCTGGTTCTGTTGCTCTGGAGGAAAAAACTACAAGTCAGGTGAGCTGTGACGTCATCAGTGATGCAACATCCATCACATTTACTTTCGGTTTGGATTTAACTGTTCAGGTGTGGCTCCAGTCCGTTTGTCGGGTTTCAGTCTGTTGTTTAAATTTTCTTTAACTCTTTGAATCGTTTGAACAAACTGTAAGTTTGATTTGTTTATTTCTTGAACTTTTTCATCACTTTAACTTTTTCCTGATTGTTTCTAATCTCTGATGTTTGGAAAAAAAAAATATTTCCGATTTCAACTGAAAGTTTAATATCTGCTCTTTGAAGGATAATATACACGATTATTAGATTATTGATGAACTGCAACCAATCAACATGATGAACAGCTGATGTTTCACTGTTTTCTTCTCAGAACTGATTCATGTTTTTTTTTTCCTGGTACTGAACTCTAGTCTCCACCATTAATGTCAGCAACAGTTTCCTGTTGCTTCCTTTCAAAATGAAATATTATTAAAATATTTGATTCAGTCAAATTATTAAATAGTTAACATTTAATGGAGTGAATAATCCACTTGTATAAATTACTAATTGTGAACTATAAGACTTGTTCAGGTTGAATCAGTGAATGTAAATGTTGCTCCATGTCTCCATCCAGTGGACTGATAGTAGAAGTGCAGCAGCTGATGGCAGCTTCCTCTGCCTCTCTGCTGTCTGACTGCATTCACCTGACACTGATATGAAGCAGAGAAGAAGAGCCAATCAGAGGAGTAGCAGCTGATCTTTTTCCAGCACTAATGATGTAAAGGATGATCAGAGTTGATGTGCAGATGAATGATGTGTGTTTCCTCTGAAGGTGAAGCTAGAAAGTGTGTGTGAGCTGATGTGGATTCAGCAGCATGGATCAGTGTGAGGACAGAGAGGAGGGAGTCCCTCCCTCTAAAACCACTCTGTGTGGGGAAGATGAGAGCCAGAGCAAAGATCAGAGGTGAGGTCACCATCTCTAACTGTCCACAGCCCTTTTCACACAGCGTTCACTATATCAGGCCAGAACAGACGTGGTGATGAAGCTGCTGCTGCTCCTCTTTGCTGATTAAGTTTTAATCATCATGTTTCTGTCAGGATCCATCAGAGATCAGAACCAGACCCAGAACCCAGCTGTGTGTCCTTTAAGAGCGACATGTCAAAGGAAGAGTTCATTCACTTTAAATCTCCTGGATCTCCACCATCAGAGAGGTGAGATGTTTCTAACTGCTGTAACTGTGGAAACTGAACCAGTATGAATATCCCAGTTTTTATTTATTCTGTTGACAGTGTGGAGTGTTTAAAGTGCAATATCAACTTTTTTACATAATCTGAGTGATTCTAGTGTTACTGTAATCCATTTTCCTCTTTCTTACTCCTTTGTATTGTGATGATGTGATGCTCTGTTTTACTGCTTCAAGTATTTTTAGTGTGAAATTCCTGGTGATTTCCTCAGTGAAAACTGCTGGATGAATATTTCCTGACTTCCTAATTGTTCCTGGTTCCTCCACAGAGTGGACCAGCAGAGCTCAGAGGTTCCTAGTGGTTCATCTGTCCAGCACCATCAAACACAGCTGGACTCCATATTTATGGTCTGTATATATACAACTACTTTTTTATGTTCTGTTCACCTTCATCTCCATGCTGCAATTTGTAGTCCAAAGGATTGTCAGTCTGTCCAACATCCATCTGGTGTTTGGCTCCATGATTTAAACTTTGATGTTTTCTTCATCTATTATTCTGTTCCAGCTGCTGGAGGACAACATTGTCTCTTTTATGAAGAAAGAACTGAAGAAGATCCAGAAAGTTCTGAGTCCAGATTACGCAGAACATTCAGAGAGTGAGAGAAATGATGAGGTGTTGGAAGGTGATGATGAAGAGCAGAGGAGGAGCAGCAGAGAGGCAGTGATGAAGATCACATTGAACTTCCTAAAAAAAATGAATCAGGAGGAGCTGGCAGATCGCCTACAGTGCAGTAAGAGGATTTTTACAAAGATTTAACCTGATGGATAAATCAGAAATTTATTGATGTCTGAAAAGATGGAATAACATTCAATCCAGTCATCTCCATCCTTGTTTCATTATTGATTTTACTTTTTGTGTTAATTAAGGACATCTAGCTGCAGTTTGTCAACATCAACTTAAATCTGGTCTGAAGAAGAAGTTCCAGTCTGTGTTTGAGGGGATTGCTAAAGCAGGAAGTCCAACCCTTCTGAACCAGATCTACACAGAGCTCTACATCACAGAGGGAGGGACTGGAGAGGTCAATGATGAACATGAGGTCAGACAGATTGAAACAGCATCCAGGAAACCACACAGACCAGAAACAACAATCAGACAAGAAGACATCTTTAAAGTCCCACCTGGAAGAGATCAACCAATCAGAACAGTGATGACAAAGGGAGTGGCTGGCATTGGGAAAACAGTCCTAACACAGAAGTTCACTCTGGACTGGGCTGAAGACAAAGCCCACAAGAACATCCAGTTTATATTTCCATTCACCTTCAGAGAGCTGAATGTGCTGAAGAGAAAAAGTTCAGCTTGGTGGAACTTGTTCATCATTTCTTTAGTGAAACCAAAGAAATCTGCAGCTTTGAACACTTCCAGGTTCTGTTCATCTTTGATGGCTTGGATGAGAGTCGACTTCCACTGGACTTCCACAACAAGGAGATCCTGACTGATGCTACAGAGTCCACCTCAGTGGATGTTCTGCTGACAAACCTCATCAGGGGGAAACTGCTTCCCTCTGCTCTCCTCTGGATAACCACACGACCTGCAGCAGCCAATCAGATCCCTCCTCAGTGTGTTGGCATGGTGACAGAGGTCAGAGGGTTCAATGACCCTCAGAAGGAGGAGTACTTCAGGAAGAGATTCAGAGATGAGAAACAGGCCAGCAGGATCATCTCCCACATGAAGACATCACGAAGCCTCCACATCATGTGTCACATCCCAGTCTTCTGCTGGATCACTGCTACAGTTCTGGAGGATGTGTTGGAGACCAGAGAGGAAGGAGAGCTGCCCAGAACCCTGACTGAGATGTACATCCACTTCCTGGTGGTTCAGACCAAAGTGAAGAAGGTCAAGTATGATGGAGGAGCTGAAACAGATCCACACTGGAGTCCAGAGAGCAGGAAAATGATTGAGTCTCTGGGAAAACTGGCTTTTGATCAGCTGCAGAAAGGAAACCTGATCTTCTATGAATCAGACCTGACAGAGTGTGGCATCGATATCAGAGCAGCCTCAGTGTACTCAGGAGTGTTCACACAGATCTTTAAAGAGGAGAGAGGTCTGTACCAGGACAAGGTGTTCTGCTTCGTCCATCTGAGTGTTCAGGAGTTTCTGGCTGCTCTTCATGTTCATCTGACCTTCATCAACTCTGGTGTCAACCTGATGAAAGAAAGTCCACCATCTTTTTTCTCTATGTTATTTTATATTTCAAATATAAAATCTCTCCATCAGAGAGCTGTTGACCAGGCCTTACTGAGTCCAAATGGACACCTGGACTTGTTCCTCCGGTTCCTCCTGGGACTTTCACTGCAGACCAATCAGAGACTCCTACAAGGTCTGGTGACAAAGACAGGAAGTAGCTCACAGACCAATCAGGAAACAGTTCAGTACATCAAGAAGAAGATCAATGAGAATGTGTCTGCAGAGAAAAGCATCAATCTGTTCCACTGTCTGAATGAACTGAATGATCGTTCTCTAGTGGAGGAGATCCAACAGTCTCTGAGTTCAGGAAGTCTCTCCACAGATGAACTGTCGCCTGCTCAGTGGTCAGCTGTGGGTTTCATCTTAGTGTCATCAGGAAAAGATCTGGATGTGTTTGACCTGAAGAAATACTCTGCTTCAGAGGAGGTTCTTCTGAGGCTGCTGCCAGTGGTTAAAGCCTCCAACAAAGCTCTGTAAGGACACAGATTGTTACTGAATTTATTTTGATAAAAATCTGTCAATGATGAGATAAATATTGAGTCATGATTTATCAGTTTGTTTACTCGTGCATTGTCTCCTCAATGTTGGCTGCTAGCAAATGATGAGTAAAAGAGAGATCAGATCTCATAGGTAATTATTCATAATGCTACATGTTCAATCAGCAGAAAATATTTGTCCTACTGAAACCGATACTGGATTAATGCAGCTCATTACAGAAATTAATGTTTCTCTTGCCAGCCTCCTTGATAGCTGCTGTATTGTAGTCTCTGAAGACTTTAGGTCCAACTATAGAATAAAGCTGTTCACAACACATGTGAACTGCCATGTATTGTGCCAATCTTAAAGATGTGGAAAATATGATATTCTTTTCAATCTGTGCAAAATGAATATCTCTCAGGATTAACACCTATTAAACAAACATAGGAAAGACAAGAGTGTTAGATTCTTTCTTACTCACGAGGAGAACAGACAGTCATGTGCTTTCAGTTACAATCTCCTGTTGCTCTGAAAATACATTTGCCTGCTCCTCTCTTTTTATTGTTTTCAGGATCCCTAATCACAAAGAAACACTGTAACTCTAAAGGGAGGAGAAAACACTTCATCACATAGCGACAGCGCCAATGACAATCACTAACTAAACCACAAGGTATCTTGCACTAGATAGTCTCGATCCAGACACAGGGTTAAACCGAGCAAGTTGTACATCTTCACGGTCAGTTTTATAGTAATCTTGCCGGTAAAAGAGGCCTTGCTTCCCGCTGAGAGATAACCCTACAGAAAACTGATGTCACTGATTTCTTTCAGTGAGGCCTTCTGAGAATCAGAGTAATTCAACAATACAGAAACATTCTTAATGCTAAGATGAAACTAAACAATAAAAGCATATAACAAAAGATACATTATAAAGATACATGAGAATAACAAATATTTGACAAATAACATCACAATTTATCCAAAACTATCATTGACTGGAACATAAAACATAAAATTTTGAAGAATTGTTTAATAACATATTTTCCTCCTTGTCTCCTCAGACTGAGTGACTGTAACCTCTCAGAGAGAAGCTGTGAAGCTCTGTCCTCAGTTCTCAGCTCCCAGTCCTCCAGTCTCAGAGAACTGGACCTGAGTAACAACAACCTGCAGGATTCAGGAGTGAAGCTTCTCTCTGCTGGACTGAAGAGTCCAAACTGCAACCTGGAAACTCTCAGGTAACTCTGGGCCATCCATCTATCCATCCATCCATCCATCCATCCATCCATCAGTTCAGACCTTGGTTTCTACCTCCATGTTCTCATTTTCTCATCATGTGATGAATTGTGTGTCTGCAGCTTATCAGGCTGTTTGGTCTCAGAGGAAGGCTGTGCTTCTCTGGCCTCAGCTCTGACCTCCAACCCCTCCCATCTGAAAGAGTTGGACCTGAGCTACAATCATCCAGGAGACTCAGGAGTGAAGCTGCTGTCGGCTGGACTGAAGGATCCACACTGGAGACTGGAAGCTCTCAGGTATGGAGGAACCTGCTGCAGGAGCAGAGAAGGTCTGATAGAGGAGGAAGAGGGAGAAATGTCTTTAGTCAATCTGATGGAAACATTTAGTTTGAAGCTGGTATACAGTCATATCATTTATAAATGAATGGATAACATTTTGAACCCCATTTTATCTCTTATTGCAGTTTAATAACTCCATTTTTCTCTTGTAATTTTGGTTGTGTAACTTTTCAAACAGCAGCTCATTTAAACTATAAGAATCTTCCACATGGTTCTGAATGAACCTGGGAAACCAACCCATCTACTGAACCACAATAACATGGTATTCAGAGCAGCAGGGGGCCAAATATAGCTCCATGTGGAACCAAGAGGTTGGAGAGAGAAAATCAGTTGAAACTGTTTCCTATCAGAGTTCAGTTTGTCTCTCTGTCTTCACAAACCAGGAGCATCATGGGCTGGGCGGGGCTTCCACTGATGGATCTACTGAGGAAATACAGGAAGCTGATTGGCTGATTTAAAATAAGTTAAAAATATGCAGATTAATGATATCATATAAAAGATATGGTATGTAATTGTAGAGACACAGCTGGGAAACAATTTTGACTTTAAAAGAATATTTCATGGAGATCTAGACCAATCAGCCCAAATGAGGAAAGATCAGAAAATGGTCAGATGGATGTGGAAAAGTTCTCAAAAAGTGAAACAAAGATTCACAACTTTCAGGACTTAATGAAACCAAAAATACACAAAAACATGAAGCAAACTGTTTGAGGCAGAGTTTAGCAGTTTTATTTGTATGGTAGTTTGTCCTCAACTAGGTGGCGCTAGAGTCAGGAGGAATAGCCTGGAGAAAAGGCTGATACTCCCTGATCTGTTTCCAAGCAGTCAGAGTGCAGAAGTTGAGAGCTGGAGAAGTTTCCTCCTGTTGCTGCAGCAGCAGAGATGTTCTGCTTCATGGACTAAATCAGGTTGGAAAGAGGAGAGATCTTTACTGAGCTGCTGGATAAAAGCTGCTGAAACATTTCAACTCTTTCTGGAAACTAATGAGACAGAAAAACAATGAATGTTTTTACCATCCAGACCTTTGGAACCAGTTCAGCTCAATAATTCAGTTGTATCTGTGGAAGATGAACAGATTTGATGTGAAATGATGAAATTTTTCATTTCTATCTGATGTTCCAGCAGATCTGTAGAAAATGGAGCTGCAGCTCTCAGACATTTCATGTTTTCTATCAATGAATCCACTGATTAAAGCAGGAATCTCATCTCCATGTTCTCCTCCAGAGGTTCCCAAGGTTTGTTCCTGGAAGCTGCTGCTGGTTCCTCCAATCCAGGCTCCGCCCCCTTTAGAGGAAATCTGTCCATATATGGTGCTAAGAGTCACCTTGATGCTGCAAAGCTTTGTTCAGGGATGAGATGTCAGGATGTTGGTGTCAGTCTGTTCCAGGCTTTAGTTGTTCTCCTCATGAGGAGCTGAAGTCTCTGACAGGAACGTGGAGCTGAACAGGAGAAGAACTTGAAGCTTCTTCTTGGCCTCTGATTGCAACAGCAGGACAATCCAACATTTTAGTCTGACTTCATCTGGAAATATTTCTTTGACCCTCAATCAGTGTGAAGGCAGGCCAGCTCCTCATCAGAGCTGAGATCTTCTCTGTCCTCCATGCTGGAAATGTAGAAGTCCAGCAGCTCCTGGTCAGTGACATCAGAGCATGACATCATCAGTAGAGTGATGATGTCATTTCCTCTCAGAGCAGCTTGGAAATCTGAGAGGAAAGATGCAAACAAACTCTCTGGACTGTTGGATCTGCTGGTTCTGGTTCCAGATGCTCCTTGGACACTTTCACAAGCCATTACTGCAGCTGCTGGATTCAGGATGCTGCTTCTTCTTCTTGGGCTCATTGTAAATGTGTGCAGCGCCACCTGGTGGTGCTGGTTGGTAGAGGAAGTGCTGAAAGCTTGGAGGTGTTTGTCAGAGGTGTGTGATGATGGAAGCCTCTCCCTGGTTTGTGAGTCTGAGCTCAGAGATCAAATCTTTGATTCTTGTTGAATCTTTGTTGAATGTGATGCAGCTTCTCCTTTTTAATGTTTGTATTTCTGGATATTACA